GTGTGTCTCTGTATCTCTCTTGTCTCTCTGTGTCTCTCTCTCTCTGAATCTGTTTCTGTATCTCTCTCTCTCTCTCTTTCTCTCTGTGTGTGTGTCTCTGTATCTCTCTTGTCTCTCTGTGTCTCTCTCTCTCTGAATCTGTTTCTGTATCTCTCTCTCTCTCTCTTTCTCTCTGTGTGTGTGTCTCTGTATCTCTCTTGTCTCTCTGTGTCTCTCTCTCTCTGAATCTGTTTCTCTGTCTCTCTCTGTCTCACTCTGTGTGTATCTGTCTCTCTGTATCTCTCTCTTTTGTCTCTCTCTGTCTTTCTCTCTCTCTGAATCTGTTTCTCTCTGTCTCTTTCTCTCTGTCTGTGTGTCTGTTTGTCTCTCTCTATCTCTCTCTTTTGTCTTTCTCTCTCTCTCTCTTTCTCTCTCTGTGTGTGTCTCTGTATCTCTCTTGTCTCTCTCTGTCTCTCTCTCTCTGAATCTGTTTCTCTGTCTCTCTCTGTCTCGCTCTGTGTGTGTATCTGTCTCTCTGTATCTCTCTCTTTTCTCTCTCTCTCTCCCTCTCTCTCTGAATCTGTTTCTCTCTGTCTCTTTCTCTCTGTCTGTGTGTCTGTTTGTCTCTCTCTATCTCTGTCTGTCTCTCTCTCTCTGTGTCTGTCTGTCTCTCTGCCTCTCTTTTTCTCTCTCTGTGTGTGTGTCTCTCTCTCTATCTGTTTCTCTCTGTCTCTTTCTCTCTGTCTGTGTGTGTGTCTGTTTGTCTCTCTGTATCTCTGTCTGTCTCTCTCTCTTTCTCTCTGTCTCTGTCTGTGTCTGTCTTTCTGTCTGTCTCTGTCTGTGTGTCTATCTGTGTCTCTGTATCTCTCTTTCTCTCTGTATGTGTCTCTCTCTCTATCTGTCTGCTTCTCTCTCTCTCTCTTTCTCTCTGTCTCTGTGTGTCTGTCTGTCTCTCTGTCTCTCTTTTTCTCTCTCTGTGTGTGTTTGTGTCTCTCTCTCTATCTGTTTCTCTCTGTCTGTCTGTCTCTTTCTCTCTCTCTCTCTCCCACTTCGAAGGAATCAGATTCTTTTCCATTTCTTTTTTGGGTGCGTGATGGGCTGCGGGGTTGATCCCGGGGAACCCATTGGACAGTCGTAGAAGATCAGAGCGATGCTAACTGGTTCGTTCCGACTTGTCGGTGTGCCTATGTGTCTCCATGTGCCTGCGTGCGTATTTTTCTTTTCTTTTCTTCTTTTTAAAACAAAAAAAAAAAATCAGGATTATGCTGCCGCAGCAGGTTTCAAAAACTGGGAGAGTGACCCAGCCAGACAAGTTGTGTTATTCAACGGCGGTTTTTGTGGTCCGGCGAGCTGCTAGAGAGAAAACAAAGGAGACGGGAAAACGAGTCGGATTGGTGGGTCACCGTTTTCGGTTCTCGTTTGTCGTATTTTCTTTGGCGGAGATCTTGCCTCGGTTTTTATTTTTCATGGGTGCCAAATCCAGGACCAAAATAGAAGGATTTGGGAACGCAGATCCATAATTTGCTTTAAAAAATTCCCACTGAAAATCAAATAAAGAAGAACAGGGGGAAGAAAACTGAACTTTGATGAAACGAAGGATTAATATTAACCGAGGTTAAAATCGTTACGGATATTTCGTTAAGTCTCCGGTTCGCTTCAGTACAGGCCGTCCTCAATTTAGGACCAGAACAGAGCCCAAAATGTGCGTCCCTAAGTGAGACACTTATTTCTTAAGCGAGGTTTGCCTTATTTCATGACCTTCCTCGCCACCGCTGTTAAGTGAATCGCTCCCCTCGTTAAGCGAATGCGCCTTCCCTGTGGATTTTGCTTGTCAGGAGGTCGCAAAACGAGATCGCGCGATCGCAGGACACTGCCGCCGTCATAAATGCGAGCCAGTGGCCAAACTTCCCCAATTTTGATCACCTGACCATGGAGATGTAACATGGCCACGCCCAGCCAGCCACATGACCGCCTAGCCACGCCCACCCAGCCGGTCCTTAGGCAGATCCTATTAGTGGTCCGCGGGATTTAAAATTATGAAATTTAGTGGTCCGAAAGGTTGGGGACCCCCTGCCCAAATGGCATCTTTCCCATATAAAGCACTACAGTTCCCATCGTTCTTAACCAACACGGAACCATATTCCTCGTGTGAGCGATAGGAATTATCCTTCGGCTGACCCGGATGATATGATGGCGTGTTCGGGAAAGCTGGCATACATTTTTATGGCTTCCTTGAAGATCTGACGTCTCGTCGCGGAGCGGTGGGTGCGAATTCTCCGCCGTGGGAACCGAAGGGAGGAAAACACACAAGGGTTTGTGTGTGTGTGTGTGAAAGAAAGGAAGGAACAATTCATGAATGATGAAACGTGGGAAGAAAACGAACAACTCCACGCAATCACAATAGCAGGAATCCGGAGCAGGAATCCAATATTCTAACTTGAGCCAAGTTGGCGAGATCCAGATCAAAAGAGAGAGGAAATCGAAGGGAAGATTTGCCAGTTTGTTTCTCGGAACAACACCTCACAAAACACACATTTGGGAAGCGAAGACACGCAAGCACACACAAACACGCACAGGCTTAACGACCCGTAATGTGCCCCCCCCAAATTTTCACTGCTAAGCGAGATAATTTGGCTCCCTTTTACAACCTCTCGGGCCACCGTTCTTAAGTGAATCCCTATATATATATAAAACCAACAGAGAAAATCGATGTTGCTTTCAGAATCTCATGATTTGTTTTGAGGTGTCTGTCAGTCTATCATTATCATCTATCTATCTATCTATCTACCTACCTACCTACCTACCTACCTACCTACCTATCTATCTATCTATCATCTATCGTCCATTTGTCTGTCTGTCTGTCTGTCTATCTGTATCATCTGTCTGCCTGTCTTTCATTTCTGTTTATCTATCTATCTATCTATCTATCTATCTATCTATCTATCTATCTATCTATCTATCTATCTATCTATCTATCTATCTATCTANAAAAAGAATAGGAGAATAACAGATGAACAGAATAGGAAGGGACCATGCAGGTCATCTAGTCCAACCCCCTGTCCAAGCAGGAGACCCTGCATCTGTCCTTACCTAGAATCGAACTCAGAACGCGGGAAGAAGAAACAAAGCATGTTCAAATCTTAGTTGTGGGTCTCGGGCCCATCCCCCCGGATAAAACCCTCCCCCAAATGGCTTGCAAATAAAATAAAAAAAATTGTGATTTAAATAATTTAAAAAACTATTAGATTTTTAAAAAAACCCAATTAAAAGTACTTTCTGGCCTAAATGAGTAAATTTTCAGAGCCGTGGGGGGGCGGCTGGGATTGAATTAAGGGTGGAAAAATAGGGAAATGAATTAATTTCCACAGGGAGTGGGAGGGGGGTTATAGGGCAGGAGAAGGGGGTACCTAACCTTTGCCTTGGCCTGTTTCGCACTCAGGACTGACCTCCGGAAAATGTTTGCCACCCGAAGCGTGGAAAATATCCAGTTTCTTCCCTTTCTGACGACCGACGTAAAGTAAGCCCGCTAGCGGGGGCGTCCCGGGTAGGGTTAGCTGAACGGGAGGGGTGGACTAAATGACCTCTAGGTTCCCCTCCGAGCCCTTACCTTACAAGATTCGGGGAATCCATCCATCCATCCTCAGGTATATTTGTATGATCGATCGGCTCAACCTTTCCGGATAACCAAGGGAAAGGTCATCAAAATGAATAAAATGGGGGGGGGGATTGAAATTGCCAAGGAGTCCTCGACCTTACGACCAGGACGGAGCCCGACATTTCTGTCGCTAAGTGAGTTTTTTTTAAAGCTTTTTATTAGATATTTGTTAAGTGAGCGTTACCTCTTTTTATCACACATCCTGGTCGTAACGTGGGGGAAAAACTCAATGACGGTCTCATTTACCGACGGAAATACGGGGGGGCTCGCTTGTCGTCATAAGTCGAGGACTGCCTGGGCCTTTGAAGGGGCGTGGGCTTGTCACTCCAAACTCCTTTTTTCTCTCTCTGGATCAGCAACCTGAGTTGGCTAAGCTATGGTTTCCTGAAAGGCGACTGGACATTGATTGTGGTTAACACGGTGGGCGCGACGCTGCAGTCCCTCTACATCCTGGTTTATTTCTTCTTCAGCGCGGAGAAGGTGGGTGGGCTTGTCCCAAAGATTAAGACACCCCCCCCTCCCCAAGATAGTGTCCCTCATTTTTTCCCCTCCACCCCTGGCAAACGAAACACCTTTTGGGGGGGGGGGACCAGCCCATTGGCCTTCATTAAAGATAGACTGCTCCTAACCTCGGAGTTCTACTGAATAGCTAACCTTGGATAGCGAGCGGGAGGAATAGAGACAGCCCTCGACTCGCGACCACCATGGAGCCCGAAGGTTAGGTCGGTAAGTGGGACATTGGTTCAGTGACTTTTGCCTCCGCCTTGCGACCTTTTCTTGCCGCCGTCGTTAAGTGAGTCGCTGCCGCTGTTAAGCCAGTAATGGGGTCGTTCAGCGAATCCAGATTCCCCACCGACTTGGAGGTCGCAAAAAGGGGATCACGTGACCCCGGGACTCAGCGACCGTCATAAAGACGAGTGACCGTCATAAATACGAGTCAGTGGCCAAACGCCTGGATTTTGATCCCGTGACCACGAGGGGGGAGGGCGGAAACAGTCATAAGTGTGAGTTTTTCAGTGCCGTTGGTCATTGAACGAAACAGTTGTACGTCAAGGATTCCCTGTGCATTCATAGTCCTCAACTTATGACGGTTCAGAGTTATGACGGACTTCCCCAGGGCTACTTAACGACCCCAATTTAGGAGTTCTGGCAGCTGCGCCTCCTTGGTCACATGATCCCAACCGGTCCCTCTTTACGACCGTTTCAGCGATCGTGACCACAATTTATAATACTTCCCCCCCCCCCCCCCCCGGTGTCCGTTTCCACTTTCCAGCAAAAACGTCCAGCTTCGCTTAAGGACCACCGTGAATCTCAAGGATTCACTTAACGGCGGGTCGTAAAAATCGGTCGCGGTCCAACCCACTTTTAACCATTGCGTGACTTAAAAGCCCATCTCAATTTTTGGGGGGTGGGTAGGTGGGGGTGTCGTAAGTCAAGGACTAACGAAAAGGCCTGATTCTCCGTTGCTCCTAGATTCGATCTCCTGGGAATCTTTGGGGGTGACGTATCTGGAACTCGCGTCCCCCTGGCTTCCCATTTCCTGGTTTTGCGCAACTTCACGGCCCAGTAAAATTTGCAAGGAGATGTTATGAGATGTTTATTGACGCATGTTTGAACAGCGTTTGGGGTTGGTCCCTCCTTCCCGCCCGCCTTCTCATGGCTGTTGACTCAAGAGGACTGGTGACTTGAGTCAACAAAAGCTCTTCTCCCCGTCCAACTCCACCTCTTGAATCTACGTGTCCTGGGTCACCGACCGGCCACTCAAGGGGTGGAAACGGACAAAATATTGACTTATAGATAGAATTACGGCCTTTATTCTCTCTTTTTTTTATATACATAGAACTTTTCTTGATGTTTTTATAACTCTCTGGCCATAACCCTCCTTCTTCTCCTCTTCCTCCTTCTCTTTCTCCTTCTCCTCCTCCATCATCTCCATCTCCTTCTTCTCTTCCTTCTCCTTTTCTTTCTCTTCCTTCTCTTTCTCGTTCTTTTTTCCTCCTTTTCTTTCTCCTCTTTCTTCTCCTCTTCCTTCTCTTTCTCCTTTTCTCCCTCCTTTTCCTCATCCTCCTTTTCTTTCTCCTTCTCCTCCTTCCTCTCCACATTTTCTTTCTTGCCCTCCTCCTCCCCTTCCTCCTCCTCCATCATCTCCATCTCCTTCTTCTCTTCTTCTTTTCTTTCTCGTCCTTCCCTTTCTTGTTCTATTTTCCCTCCTTTTCTTTCTCCTCTGCTTTCTCTTTCTCCTTTTCTCCATCCTTTTCCTCCTCCTCCTTTTCCTTCTCCTCCTTCCTTTCCTCCTTTTCTTTCTTCTCTTCCTCCTCCTTCTCTTCCTCCTCCTCCATCATCTCCTTCTCCTTTTCTTTCTCCTTACTCTCCTTTTCTTTCTTGTTCACCTTCTCCTCCATCTACTCCTCCTTCTCTTTCTCCTTCTCCTTCTCCTCCTCCATCATCTCCATCTCCTTCTTCTCTTCCTTCTTTTCTTTCTCTTCCTTCTCTTTTTCGTTCTTTTTTTCCTCCTTTTCTTTCTCCTCTTCCTTCTCTTTTTCCTTTTCTCCCTCCTTTTCCTCCTTTTCTTTCTTGTCCTCCTCCTCCTTCTCTTCTTCCTTCTCCATCATCTCCATCGCCGCCTTCCCCACTTCCTTTTCTTTCTCCTCCTCCTCCTTACTCTCCTTTTCTTTCTTGTTCACTTTTTCCTCCATCATCATTTCCTCCTCCCCCTCCTCCTCCTTTTCTTTCTCTTCCTCCTCCTCTTCTTTCTCCCTCTCCTTTCCTGCCTTCCTCCTCCTCCTCCTCTGTCATCTCCTCCTCCTTCTCTTCCTTCCCCTTTTCTTTCTCTTCCTTCTCCTTCTCATTCTTTTTTCCCTCCTTTTCTTTCTCCTCTTCTTTCTCTTTCTCCCTCCTCCTCCTCCTCTCCGCAAACCCCACTTCCTTCCAGCACTGTCGAGCACTGATGATGCCACCTAGTTTGCTCGCGAAATGTCTGCAAGAAAGCAGCCAGCCTCAGAGCTTACTACGTGTAAATAAGGGAGCAAATCCCATGCCGTTGCACTGATGCTGTTACCTAGTTGGGTCACGAAACGTCTGCGAGAAGAAAAACTCAGCTCAGAGAGCACCAAAGACCCTATTTTACATCTCTCTCTCTCTCTCTCTCCCCTCCCTCCCTCCCTCCCTCCCTCTCTCCCTCTCTCTCCCCCTCTCTCCCTCTCTCCCTCTCTCTCTCTCTTTCTCTCTCTCTTTCTTTCCCCTCCAGGGTGGCGTCTTGAGGAAAACGACGGCCCTGCTGATNGGACTAGAACTCACCGTCTCCTGGTGATTGGCTCAAAGTCCCCCAGCCGCCTTTCATGCCTAAGGCAGGACTAGAACTCACATCTGCCAGCTTCTGGTGCCTTTAGCCTACCAAACGTCACAATTTATCTTGCATTTGTTTATTTAACACTTCAGCATCTGGCATGAAAGCAAACAATGGACTTTGTTTCGGATTCGGCCTTGCGTGAACGGCGTTGTGTTATTTTTTTCACACACACACACCCCTAAGTTCAATTTTTTAAAAAAGAAAAAGAAAGCATTTAAAAGGAAAAACTCTTGGCAGATGCGAAAGGCCTGTTTGTACAAAACCCTTTGCAAAAAGACAGGATTAGCCGATGCGGGTGGGACATAGAGCCGGCTTAAAAATATACTTTGGAAAGTTTGTTTTTTCAGCCCAATATATAATTAGCCTGCAGGTTAAGGAAAGGCTAACCGAGAGAGAGAGAAAAAAATAATAATTATTCTGTTTTCATTCTTCAGTGGAGACGGAGGAAGAAAGGAAACACTGTTGAGACTCGATATAGAGAGACACACACACACCTACATCCTTTATCATAAATTTTAAAATATATATATATAATGTCGTAAATAAAAGAAGAAGATTAATAACTCCAAAGTTTGGAGAAATTGGTTGGAAAGCAAAAACGCAAGAACGGAGAAATGCATTCTTGTTGCTGGGCATCTGTGTTTTTATATCTTCCTTTTCTTTTTATTTCTTCTTTTTTTTTTTTACAGTTTTTATAACTACCCAGAGATATTTACCAAAGGCCCAGCCTTAAATGAAACCTGTAAATCATTTTATTTTTATTTTATTTTTTTGGGAGACATAGAGGCTGGTTAATAAAAGAGACGGGGAGTTTGAAAGTCGTAACGTGCCTCTTTGCTTTTCAAGTTCCTTTTATATCGCTCAATAATGTCGACATATAATTTATTTCCCCCTTTTCTGAAACTGGAAATAAAAATCGCTCTCTCTGGAGCGCTTCATGTTTATAGGCTGACAGCTGTCTGTCTTGAGTCTTTTCGGCTTCTTTTGGGGGTAGTTGAACGAAATTACAAATTTCTTTCTCTCTCTTACATTTTCCTTCCTTCCTTCCCTCCTTTTCTGCTGCTCCTTTCTTCCTC